CTACCTTGTAAAAAACCCAAACACATTTTATCCTCCAGTATGTCCCTCCTTCCCTAGAAAAAGAAATTCTGTCCTTGCTTCTGTTGTTCCTCTATGATGGCAAGTTTCTTGTCCCTCTTTCTGGCCAATAATTCTGTCATAACCTGCAGCACTGTGGAAGGAAATTCAGAGAAAAGACCTCTATAGCTCAGTTGGAGTTAAGGTACCAGCTGTACTCTCCTTACAGAGTATTATGAAAGCAAAGAAATGCATCCTTTTAGAAAGCCTGCAAGTGTTAAAATTGGAACTGTCCTTTCAGTCTAGAACATTAATAAAACCTAGAACATTATTGAAACCAAGCAAAGCACAAGAAAATCAAGAAAACATGATAAGAAAAAAAACAACCCAACAAACCAAAACCTAAACCTAAAGTATGAAGACACTGCAATTAACTACTCAGGATAGACTACCTTAGGAATTAACTATATTCAGAGTACTAAATTTGTATATGATTCCTTATTTGGAATTATAATTATTTTAAAAAGGGCAACAGTCTATGAAAGCATTTCAGGAAGTTACCTGTCTTTTCTGAGGCAGACAGTATGCAAATCATTTTCATTAGAACAGTACAAGGTGGAGATTGAGGCTAGTACTTTTCAAGAGGATCTTACATTTGCATTTTGCTGCTAAATAACCATGCTGGTCCACGTGGAATGATAGAATAGGAATCAGAGAAAATGAGCCCTTTGGGGCAAGAGTTAATTTTAAAATAAAAATAAACCATCAAATCTTTTTCCCCTTCTATTGGATTTCAAATAACAGTACATGAAGATGATTATTGGAGCAATGAACCTTAGAGAAAATGACACTCACCTGGGAAAAATGACTCATAGCTGAGATCATAAACACATTTTTAAACCTTCTGCTTTTCAGTGCTCTGAGACTGAGCTTGAGATGATAGGGAGCCTAAGCAAGCTGTAAGTCTTTTCTTCCTGTCACCCCTAAACAGCATACTTGTCTTCTTTTTCCACACAGAAATTTGTTTCAGACACACACAAAAAAATAACTGGATGTTCCTTCAGGATTCCTAGACACAAGCTAATGCAGTAAGATCATAAGCAGAACTTGGCCTACCTGATAACTGTAAGTAACCAGTCAGACAAACGGGCACTCTGCATATACAGATCAACTGCACATACATTGCTGTTTCTAGAGTTACAATAAAATAAGGCTTTTCTCTAGACAACAGCTACATTCAGCCTGTACCCAGGGCTAAACTATAACAGTCATTCCATCACCCAATGACCCCTCATCAGCCAGGGAGAGGAAACGGGAAAAAGGAGAGCAAACCCACGGGTGGAAGTGAAACAGATTTAACGAAACACCACCAATACCAACAGAGATATATAGAGTTATACTCAGGTGAGTGAATGAACGAATGAATGAATGAATGAATGAATGAATGAATGAATGAATGAATGAATCCAGTTGTCACAATCAATCAGAAAGCAGTCCTCTGGAGAAGCCAGAGGAGCAGGAGCAGGAGCAATCTCTCCTCAGTAAACCTTCCTTCTTTATAATGACCATGACATTATGGTAGGGGCTACACCTCTAGCTAACTCATGTCAGCTGCCCTGGCTGACTTGAGCCTGCCTAGCATGGCTGGCCTGTGATTTTGTCCCAGCCAAACCAGGACAGACCTACGATCCACGTTGGATGGCTAGTACCACCTCAACAATGAAACTAGGAATTGAGAAAATTCTTCAGAAAACTTGAGTTGGTAAGTATTTATTTTAATTGTCATGTATTTTGCAGAAATCTTCCAGTCATAAAATATCCTGGGTTTTCCACCTTGACTGTTCCATTCTAACAGGAATATGTCTCCCTCAAAAAAGTATATATGAGCACACCAAAGTACATAAGTTATTAAATTTGCAGAATAAATTTCCAGTGGTACCTATTAAACCTTCATGATTTAAACAGCAAATATTTTTTATTATAAAAGGTCAATGTTCTAAGATAGATAAAAGCATATTTTTAGTGATAGAGTCATTCTACTTTCACTTGATTTTTTTTGTTAAAAATATCTTAAAATTCATTAACACAAGAAATAGCTTTTGAAAACTGCTCTACAAAACTCAGCCACAAAAAGGCATATAAAGACATGAGTGCCCTTTTCCACTCTGAAAATCATTTAGGTTAAAGGAGAAGGAGATAGCCAGAAGTTTGAACACTTTCATACAGACTAAAATTATCCACATGTGGAACTGTTCCAAAAAGAGTTATCACATTTTAAATTGACACCTTGATTTCAATGTACACATGCCTGTAGATTTTCCTGAGTGCCTGAAGTAATGGCTCTGAAAATACAGAACATTATGTGCAGTGTTGCTCTCCCACTGAGGCCCATAAAAACAACCTAATTTAGCCTCACAATGCTGTGACTGACTATGTACCTGAACTGCACAAATAGAAGATTCTCACAGTCAAAAGGACAAATATGAGCAGTGCAATAGCACAGATATTGCTCCAGTAAGAACTGAGGGCTTGGTCCACAAGAATAAGCTTCTTGAACCCATTCTGCTACTAAGGGCTTTCACAGTGCAGTACACTGCTCTTGCTTCACTGACCCTGGCACAGCAGAAGTATTATACGATTAGAACAGTCACTTACCATACTTGACTTAAAGCTTTGTTGCAAACTCCAGGCTACAAATAATGCTACATAAAAAGCTCTGAATTTTACTTGGAAGATCTCAGGTGAGAAAGGGAAAAGAATTACATAAAGCCTCTCATTGTTCACAAATTCAATGTAACATTGAAATACATCAGTTCTGTGCTTCTTGTCATCCTTACCACCTTTTATATGCCAGAAACATCCTCTATCGTGCATCATTGTTTGCTGGAGACTCTCAAACTGTATGTAACTGGCTTAGAGAGATCTACTAAGGCAACTGAGGCTACTTGGAACCAAAACGGGTCAAAGCATCAAACACAGAATGTGTCTACACAAAACTTCTTTCCTACTGTTCTATAGAGATGTAAAGGCTCGCTTTAAATTAGGTTTCCTAGATAATGTCAGTAATTTAGTCACTTGAACTTGGAGCACAGCAAGGGCCAGATTACAGTTCTATGAAAAGTAACTTTAAAGAGTTTCTTTAATCTTGATTTGGTAAATTTTAGGTACGACCACTGTGCGATGCAGTCACTTATTTGACTACGGGGAATGTACAATTTTAATAAATTGGAATTGTTGTTGGAATTAATAATTTCAGAAGATTCAAAACACTAACTCTGTTCTTGGAATGGCATCTGTAAGAGTTGACTTTAAATGCTGCCAGTGTATCACCACAAAGAAAAATGAAAGAAGACTAGGTTTTATGTACATTGGTATCAACTATACTGCTGGGTAGTCTCAGTTAATCTTAACCTCTCTTACATCACTGCTAAAGAACATTCCACTTTTTCCCTAAATCTAAATAAGATCTATATGGCAAACAATTTAAAAATGAAAGTAGTTTATGTAAACATTCAACAGTACAACGTTTGAATGAACACAAAGGTTCCTCACAAGAATTCAATGTCTTTCAAGAAAAACACGTTTTCATACTGTAACTTACATTTGGACAGAAACTTTCCTGCCTCAGATTCTAATAGACTAATCAACCAAACACATTTCTAAAGTAATGTGAACTTAGGAAAGAAATGTGACTGTGTGACTTTAGGGACCAGGAAGCATGGAAATACTTCTGTTAGCTGAAAATTCATGACATTTATTTATTTTGTTTAAACTGAAATCTTCTCTTACCATCATGATTGGGATTTCCCAAAGTCCATGGCTCATCTGAGTCAAAATGAGTGTCTCCCCCAATTCCTGGCCCAGGGAAATAAGCATGAGCCAAAAATCCTCCTTCCCCATCAAAGGGAGAACTGTCTCCATGAAAACCTGATGCAAAAATGATTGTAATATCCACGTCCCTCTTGCCATTTTCTAATTCAATATAAGGAACTTCTTCAAATGTTAGAGGAGTTACATTCTGCCACACATCAAAGGCACGGCGAATGGCTTTACGAGTTTCAGCATCACCTACTTTTGGAGTGACGTTCTTTATGCTGAAAGAAACAGAGAAACATTAGATGAAATTTGACAGAGTGGTAAGTGACACTGCTTACATCCATTTTCCTCTAATTAGTAAAAGCACCGTGCTTTTAACAAAACATGCTAGTCTGGAATTTTTAAAAAGAGTGTTTTTAAACAAGCTGGTGCAAAATTATTGTGTCAATATGTGTAGCCCTTTATGCTAGAACTTATTATATGTCAGCTAGGTTACTCTCAGCAGTACAAAAATCTTATTTTTAGAAGATTATTATTTCAAAATGAAAAATTCTTAACAGTGGGATAACCAGAACAATCAACCACTGACTGTTTACCTCCTGGACCACAGTTAGAATCTATCACAGCTAAAGAACGGCATGTAATTTCTGATGAAAAGAAAAAAGTTTGAAGTTAAACGAAATTTTAACTTCTTAGCGAGTCCATTAACAATAGCAGAGCTACATACTGTGACCACCAACCAGTATTCAAAAAGCCTTAAAAACAGTTCTTGTTGCATTTGTAACTGGATAGATAATTCCTTATTAGAAACAAAGCATTTTTATTTCAATACAGCCTAAGATGTCCTTTTATGATCTGATTACTTCTATAAATATTGCATAAAACTGTAGAATTCAACAGAGAAATAATTTCATAGAAGACAGTTATGTGCTAAATTAGAAATATACGTTTAAAGAGAAATTCCAGTCTTTACTTCTTCAAATAACACCCATAAAAGAAAGGCAAAAAAAAAAAATATCAGAATTTCAGTTGAGATCCCAGTCACAGTTACTAGTAAATTATAGTGGAATCATCTTTAAAAATAAACCTTCTTTATTTATTTTAATTATTGAGTTCAAGAAAAGAATGGCAATAATCAATTTCAGACAGACCTGTTCAAATTCCTCATTTTCCCTCAATTCATATGGCCAACAAAACCAGTTAGGTTTGTGTGTGTTCGGAAACTACTGCAATCAGATGCTCTTTATTCATTTCACATGTACTTGACTAAATGTCCAGCACAAATTTCAGAAATTACATAGCTCTAGAGTATATATGAGAGTTATGTAAATTTACACAGCATAGCGTGTTAATGGAGAACAAAAATATTTTCATGCATAAAACTGTAATGATTGATTTGTTTGGTGCATTAAATGTACTTGATTATATGGTATTGTAAGTTTATATAAATGGAAATAAATCCTTCAAGTCTAATTTTATAGATTTCATAGAATCATAGAATGGTTTGGGTTGGAAGGGACCATAAAGATCATAGAATCATCTAGTTCCAACCCCCTGCCACGGCAGGGACACCTCCCCCTAGGCCACGTTGCTCAAAGCTCCCAACGGCCTGG